TTTATATATAAATAATTAATATATTTATATAATAAATATATATAATAAAATGAACTTGAGCTGATAGTAGTTTTCCAAATTAGAAAGCACACATACAGTGCCACGTCCTGGTTAAAGTAGACAGCAGACCACATTTGTTGAAGGTAGACAAGATGACTTCTCAGCCTTTGGGAGGAATCCTGCTAGAATCTAGTATAATGTGAGATACGTGAAATGTAGATCCACATAGCAAACCACAACCTAACGGAAGTGGAGGCACCCTGACACGTGCGTAGAAGTCAGCCCGCCGTGAGATAGCTGGCACAGCGGTGTATGTCACCATCCAGAGAGGGGCGTGCTGTGAAACGGCCACACATTCAAGCTGACCTCCAGTGAACTTCAGGAACCCTTAGCCTGTACAATTTAAAATAAAAAGAAACTTGTAGATGCATATGACTGGCTAAAATTAAACCAAGATGAGATAAGATATTTAAACATATCTATTTCAGTGGACACTCCACGTGTCTTTCAGTCACTTGTTTTCACACTAAGGTATTGTTTCAGGCATAATAATTTCATCTTGCCTGCATCAGAAACAAAAAATATCTTACAAATACCAAAAATGTGAGAAGAATTTCCATGCCTGTTGGGCACATTATACATGTCTTCAGATTTCTCTTCTAATGAGAAGTTGAAAAATATATGGTTGGTTCTTGATGTAACTTTCCTTTAAATTTTTTTTTTTTTTTGAGAAAAACATTTCCCAAAATCATTCTAGGTTTTTTGCAGAAGGTATAGAAGTATTTTGTCAAGATCATTCCCAAAAATGAAAGATAGCTAACGAACACAAATCCTGCTCTTTTGGTTAATTATCATTATTTAAGTCCTAAAAGGACCATTGGTATACTTTTTAAAAACTTTTATTTACATTTCTTACATCTCTTTCTCCCTGCTCCACCCCAATCCCTTCCAACACCCCAACACCAGATAGGAGAGAGAAAGGATTAGTAGAAGGAGCTCAGTTCTCTTAGCTGCTTCCTGCTGGTTAGGGTCATTGGATTCCTTGTTTCAGGAGATCTCCAACTTCTTGTCTCACTGCATCAAAAGCAACAGGAGCCATGGGGAGAAGCAGCAGCAGCCTTGTTCTTTCTGGGAGCTGCTCCACACTGTCTGGGCTCTAACATTCATTCTCTCTCTCTAGAGTCCTCAGATTTAAACTAACTGAAATGGGCAAAGATCTCCTCTCAGAGCCCTCATGAGGCAAATACTTTGCTGCTGTGGACCATCTGAATCAGTCCCACATCCCATACCTGGAATTAAAGCAAAAACATGTTTATATCCACAACAAAGGACCATAGAGGTTGGGTGGATCACGTGTTCTAGAGTACACATTTGAGCTTTGGAAGTCAGGAAGACATGTGACATTCCAGCCTTCTCTGGGTAAATTCCTTGACTTGGAACAGTTCCAAGTCAATTAACCTAACTTAAAATAAGAAGAGGCACAATGATACTCAATGCAAAACTCTCAGTTTGTCTTCATTCTTCCCGGTACCCACGACTTAGCCAACATAATTTTTTTCTGTCCTTTGCAACTAAGTTGGTCTCTTTTTGCTGTGGCTCACACAACATTGCATCTATGAAAGTGTATTAGTCTGATACATAGGCTAAAAAGGTCTTGGATGCTTTTCATTTTTCTTTCAAGACCTCTGCATCTCTATGAGAACAAGTTTGCAGGAGCCTGCTGAAAGATGAGCTATCATGGGAACGGGGGTGGGGCAGGGTGGTGAAGATGTGCCAGTTGGTAGCCAGCTCACCCTTCTGAGGCTGTGCCATCTTGACAACCATCAGTTTACAGATGCACCAGAGGCAGTTCAGCTGAACCTCAATTGAGGAGCAGCTCAACCACCAACTACTAAGTTCTGGAGTGGGTTTGTTACCCAGGGATAAAAAAAGTAATGTATCCTTATAGACATGATGCCATGGCTTAGTATTCTAATTGCAAGTTACCTGGCAAGTGGTAGCTGCTATATATGCATTCATTTCCCTTCCCACTAATTAAAGCTGGCTCTTATGCTAGATGGTATTGAGTTACACAGAAAATTTTGCAGACATGTGTGCACTTGGTTGGGTCCTTAAATTTACACTGTACTACATGTCACATCCACAACCTGACAATTAGGTCCCAGGCCGAGCTAAAAAAAAAGGGGGGGAGGAAGGGAGGATTTTGTCTATAACCTATTTAAAACATAGAGGGCAAGGCTGTGGGGGGATAGGCGAGACAGGTTTCCCTCCTCAGGTGCCCACCTTTGAACACCTCCAGGTTGGAACCCCTGCTCTCATTCACCTAAGAGAAATACTGGCAGGGAGTTGTCTTTCTTCACCTCTGACATTAATGGGAGAGATTCAGGACCCTCACCTTCTTGGGATTTGGAAAGTCATAGTTATCAGAGAAGGAATTTGACAGACCTGAACTGAAACCTGCTGAAGACTTGATGAACTTTGACGACTTAGTATGGTAACCGATTATATATATATATATATATATATATATATATATATATATATATATATATATATATATATATATATAATATGTGTGTAACAATAATTCTATGTAATGTTAATCGTTTGGATATACTGGGTTTTACTACAGTCACTACCTCCTGTTTTAATTTTAGTATCAATACTAGAAAAATTTAAATGACATTTGAGTGTTACTTACTCCCCGTTTTTTTTTTTATATTGGATATTGCTGATTCAGGGGATTACTTCCCATTTTAGAATTTAGAATTCAAGAACAGAGCTCGGAAAAAAAAAGGGTGACAAAGTTCTTCTCTATTGCGAATAACATACATATATATGGTCCATCTTACATACAATATTAAATGCCAATGTCACCTTTAGGGTTAGCCTTGCCTCAACTGCACCATGAACTTGTCATTCCAGCTTCCGAGGCTAGTGCGGGGCCCTGATGGGGCGTGACCTGAAAGCCATCCAATCAGCAGCACGACGGTGAGAACGTCCAATCAGACGTTTAGAGAGGGTGGAGGGGGCGGGCTTCCACGTTTTGTTTCTGAACTCCAGGATCTTGGAATCCTCCTCAGGCTGGGTCTCTTCCGGTGTGCACGCTCGACCGGCCCCGCCAGCATCCGTTTTCCCTGCATCTTGCTGGTGCGGAGCCATCCACCGGGAGGACGCCGACGCCGAGGAGACCAGGCCACAATGGTGAGTGTGCCTGGCGCCAGGAAACCGGAGGGGGATTGCGCGGAGCCGGTGGGAACCGGCTGTGGCCTGCGATCGGTGAGGGAGGACCGGGCACCGGGGGCACCGCAGAAGCCTGCTGGTTTGTGTGTGCGTGGCGTGGCGAGGCTGGAGGGGGGCCTCTGTGGGGCCGAGGGGAGCCGGCGGTGGAGACCCCGCCTTCCCGCGACCTGCTCCGGGGTTGGCGGGGTCGAGCCCTCCCCGGCCACCTTGGTGGGTCGTGCTGGAGGCCCCGGGGCCCTGCCGCGCCCCCGGGCATCTGGGCGGAAGGCCCAGGATCAGACCCTGCTGCCCCGTCTCTGGCCGTTCGTCCAGCAGCCCGGCTTATGCGGCGATGACCAGCACGGTCTGGCTTTTCCCAGCTCCTGCCGGGAAAGGAGCGTAGAAAGAGTTCCGAGAGGTCCCCGGCCCCTCCTCCCCAGCGGTCCGAACAAACCGAAGTAGAGTCTTCCATCTAGATGCCTGCCCTTCCCTTAGCCTCGCTTCTCCTATGGGTGGCGGAAGATTCCTGAATTTCCATCTCCTGACTGCATTCCCAAACACCCATTTAAAAAAAAAATAATTAACGCATACTTCCTACGCTGCATTTCAACTATACATAGATTTTGCTTGGTTAAGTTTGGTTTTTCTCTTTTCCTTCTGCACACTGGGTGGCACTTTTAAAAAGATTTACCCTGTGGATATTCCGCGCAAAATTACTTGGCTTTTTAGGGGGGAAAATATCTTAATGCCTCTCTTTTTTGTCTTCCTGAGACATAGGAACCCAGTGAGAATGCTTTGGGATTGGGCCGCCCGTTTGGAGATTTTACGTAGTGATAGATCTATCCTCATCTCACTCTCCACCACCTTTTTTTTTTTTGGCCTGGGTTTCAGAGACACTAACACCAGCGGTCATGTCTGTCAGTGTCTGGGCAGCCTGAGGTGTGAGGTAGATCCTATGGGAGCCTATGGGAGCCTCTGGGCGTCTGGAGCCTAGGAGGAAGGGTGTGCTGTAAACCAGTTCTGGAAGGAAAGGGATCGCTACTCTGTGGCCCTTATCTGCATTACCTCTGGGGGTGCAAGGGGATTAGGACTCATGGACATGTTTGCTCCCTTGTTTAGAATCATTGGTTTTTCTTGCTTCGTTGTGCTTTTATTACTACATCCTTTTCATTTGCTAATTTATCTTCGGAGCGGGACAGGTGCATGCCAGCCATGGCGGTCCTGTGCGGTCAGAGGACATCTTGCAGGGGTTGATTCTGTTCTTTCACAATGTGAATCCAGGGCCCCAAACTTAGTCAGTTGTGGCAGCTAGCGCCTCAGCCCCCTGAGGTGCTTGATTACTGAAAACAGTCGTGGAAAAGCAGGTTCTGTAAACAAAGGAAGAGTAAAAATCTGTTTTTGCGAGTTTACCTTTCTCAGCATGAAGCCTGTAAGCAGGGTAAATCTCAGTGAGGCGAGCCTGCCTCTCTCGGCAGGAGACCTGGTAGCAATAAACAAAGCAAGGCCTGCTTTTTACGTACGAAACCAAGTCATATATTTTTTTAGAGACTCAGATAATTTAAACCTTTTAAAGTTTTCAAAATTTGTATAATCTGCCTTTAATCCCAGTCCTTAGGGAGGCAGAGGCAGCCAAATGGCTGTGAGCTAGAGGCCAGACTAGTCTACAAAGCGGGTACAGCCAAGGCTATACAGAGAAACCCTGACTCCAAAAACCATAAATAAATATATATTCATGTATATTCATATATATATATAATCAACAACAAGCACAACTTTTGTACCCAAAGTTATTGTAAAGCCAAAATGTTTGTAAGGTGAAACAGACTTTCTAGGTATGATCTGGCAGCTGTAGCCTATGGGGAGGGGCTGGCTGAGTTCAGCTAAATTGTCTGATAAAGCTAGGACCCACACCACATCACAGGGCATAGAAAGATACATTTGAATAGAAAGTAGAGGCCAAAGTATAGACAAAGACTTACCAGTTCCCTGGACAGGCGGCCTGGACTCCTCCATGATAATCGGAATGGCTTTGTTGTGGGCAGAGGTCCTTAGGATAGCATCAGTCTTTGGCCTCCAGGCCCAGAAAATCCAAGTAATTTTCCTGAAGAGGAGGCACTTGGGGACTGACCTGCCTTGATGAGGAGGGACAGTGGGTTTTCCAGTGTTCAGCTTGTCTACCGTTTGGGCAGGGCCCTGGTGGCTGGTGAGGTGAAGGGCAGTTCCTTGCCCACTGACCATCGCAGCCACATTTCAAGTACATTCCAGCTGAAGTCTGCTGCCCTGTCTTTTTGGGTGGAGACGTTAGGGCTGTGGCCAGCAGCTGGCATCTCTGCCTTTTTCATTAAACATCTTAAGCAGATCTCTCTGAGGTGTTTGAGGGCCATCATTCAATCTATTAACTATACCTGATTTTAAGACACACTTGTTTTCAGTTACTTGTTTTAGGCTTAACCATGACAGTCTGTTCAGAAGGCTAAAGATTGTCCCTGTAAATGAATTACATTTATACTTAGCATGACTGCAAGCATGGTTCTGAGCACATTAAAATGATCATTTATAAGGCAACTTTTGTTAATTTACATGTCTTAATTATCTTTAGCAGTTTACAAGTTGGATTTTTACAGTTTTGTCCCTATTAAGTTTGAGCCTTAAAAATTGGAGTTGGAGATTCCTTTAGCATTAGAATAAAACTTTAAACCATGAGTACAGTTCACAGAGAGGCTGGGAACCTTGCCTTCCTGATCCCTTCATATAGTACCTTTATAGAGGTTCTTGTGTGAGTCAGTTTATTCAAATAGCTAAAGCTTAGATGGGTTAGCAAAGACAAAGAAGCTGGACATCTTCAAGTTAATTTTTGCTAGCCTGAATGGAACTTAGGAATTCATAAACCTTATTCATCTAAAATGTGTTTAAGTCTTTCTTTCCAGAAACCTTGTTTCTGGTTTTCTTCTCTTCAGTTACTTTTTATTCTCGGGGGAAAAATCATCATCCATCCTAATCCAAAATAGTTTGGAGGCCTAGCATTGCCTCCTCTCTTAGTCAGGGTTTCTGTTGCTGCATGAAAACAGCATGACCAAAAAGCAAGTTGGGGAGGAAAGGGTTTATTGGACTTACACTTCCATCTCACAGTCCATTATTGGAGGAAGTCAGGACAGGAACTCAACTCCAGGAGCTGATGCAGAGCTGTGGAGGGGTGCTGCTTACTGGCTTGCTCCCCATTACTTGCTCAGCCTGCTTTCTTCTAGAACCCAGGATCAGTAGCCCAGGGATGGCACCAGGGAGGGCACAGTGGACTGAGCCCTCCCCCATTGATCACTAATTGGGAAAATGTCTTACAGCTAGGTCTCACGGAGGCTCTTCTCAACTGAGGGTCCTTCCTCTCTGATGACTAACTTATGTCAAGTTGACATACAAAACGAGCCAGCACACCTTCTTAATCTAAATGGTAAGCAAAGGGCTCCACAGGACTAAGAAGTCTTATGGGTGCTGACTTAGTTGGTTTATACTAGGTGGTCACCTTAACCAAGATGAAGTCACATGGTATGCCCTCTCTAACCTTAGTAAAGATGGCTGCCAGCCAAATGGTTCCTATTTATTACAAAGTGAGCCATTAGGCACACCTTTTTCTTTTCCTTTAAAAAAATTACCTATTTTCCTAAACAGAAGTTGAATCTAAGTTGCATGGTGTAGCAAATTAAAATTACTTATGTATAGATTTTTTTTTAGAGTGCAGGGAATCATAGGATTATGTATAGATTTTTTTACTGTCAGTCTAGTCTTTTATTGCCACCCCCTCCCCTTTTTTTGAGACAGGGTTTCTCTGTAGCTTGGACTTACTTTTTAGAACAGGCTGGCCTCGAACTCACAGAGATCCACCTGCCTCTGCCTCTCAAGTGCTGGGATTAAAGGTGTGCACCACTACACCCAGGTCAACCTTTTCTGTTACAAGTTTTAAGCTAACTTTTTGTTGTAAGTTTTACAGATTTTTTTTTTTAAACCACACCCAATGAATTTACAAATCTTGAGATACAGAGAGTTTGCACAGAGGTCTTACAAATCTTGAGATAAAGTTTGTACTTTAGCAAAAGCTTTTGAGATATAAGAGACGGAAATATTTAGAGACTTAAATAAAACCAAGACAAGAAGCATGAGATAAGCAGCAATAATCCCTATTGGGAACAGTTTACATTTTAGCTGTTTTAAAAGCACATGCTGTATTTTCCTGGGCTGTTCTGTTTTGCTTTCTTTCTTCCTGTCACAGTCAGGTGGCCATCCTAACCTAGCACATGGAGACTTTGGGAAAAACTTTGAAACAAGCATGCTTGGATGTGGAGACAGCAGACTATAACTCCAGAGCCAGCTTTTCAGTAGACTAGCAGAAGACAAGTCTTAATATTACCTATATCCCAAAGATATTTGAATCTTTCTAAGACTGAATCCAGTGATCAGAGGAAGGGACTAGGGCAAGAATAGAGCGAAGAAAGCTTAAAATATGAGATTTTGAGAGTGGAGAAAGCTTACAGAAAAGTGGATTTTCAGATCTTTGCTTGTGTGGCGGACATCACAGTCTGTGAGAATTTGGCCGTTTTCTGACAGTTGAAACTGATTGTGTAGTCTTTACTGAGGCCAAGCTGTTTGCAGTAAGATGGTGAAGCTTTATGGAACCTGTGAGGCTGGGGAGAAAAGAGGTTAGAGGAGGCAGGGAAGAAGTCAGCAAGTCTAATTCTGTATGGGAAGAACCCATTTTTAGAGCTAGGAACTGGAAGGTGGAATATTTGAACAGAAGACATCTTTCAGAAGCAGTCAGAATGAAAAGGAGGTGGGAGAGGCTTAGGGAATTGGGCTTCAAATAGAACTCTGCCAGAGGGAGGGTTCCAGTATTAGAGTCCTAGAAGGGCCTGATGTTGTCTAACTGGATTTTTGTAGAGTAGGCTCCAGGAGTTGAGAGAAACAGAACAGGACAGAGACAGAGCAGGTACCCCCTAGAGGGATGGGTTGGAGGCACAAGTGGTTAGTCATGCTTAGAGAGCAAGCTCCCGGAGAGAGCTGAGGACAGCAAGCAGGGAGCAGCCAGGAGCAGAGTAAGGGGATGGGAGGGACTTTGTAAGTGCTGTGGTGACAAACTTTGGGGTGTCCCCAAGGAGACCAAGAGACTTCTCAGAGAGATGCCCAGGATCAGTGGAGGGCCACCCTTCCTCCACATGATGGGGCACCCAGCCGGGTGTAGGAGGCTTCCTGACAAACCAGCGATTTCGTGGTAAGCTCCTGGTGAACAAAAACTGCAGTAAGAGATCTGGTTTTCTAAGGAACAGAAACCTTTAGGTTTGTTTACCCAGTAACAATCCTTCTGTTTACCGGGCTAACGTCCTGCTTAGGACTGTGTCACTATCATTGCCATTTTGGGGGAAAGGCGGCTTTGAACCTGACAGAATGTACATATTTTACCCTGTCTTTACAACTTTGTAAAGTGTGTGCATTTATTTTAGGGTTAGAAATAAGGATGTTCCAACACCCAAGTTTGCTACATAACAGTAATAATTAATTACTAATTAAAAAAAGGCTCTAGATTTGATCACAGATACTGATTTAAACTTAACACTTGGGAATCTTACCTCAATTGTAATGGTCACCTTTTCATGAATAAATATTATACAAAAAGTAAAGTAAAAACACTAAATAAATACCAAGAAGAGATAGCCTCAAAAAACATACTAATCTCTATTAACAGAAAATAATTGAAGCTTAAGAACATAATTTATAGGACTTTTGGCTTCGGAATGCAGATTAAAGACAGATTTAACAGACTAAGGAGAGGTATGTGTTAAAAATTACAAGCCACCTGTAAATCCTAGCACTCTGGCAGGCAGGGGCAAGTGGATCTCTGTGAGTTCGAGGCTAGCCTGGGCTACAGAGTGAGTTCAGGATAGCAAAGGCTACACAGAAAAAGTCTGTCTTGGGAAAAAACTAACAAACAAACAAACTACAGACCATTCCTAGGCTGGCCAGCAGGATCAAACTCTGCAGTGGGACCCCAGGGATCTGTTTGAAAATTCAAGCATCAACTGTTCAAATGGGAAAGTGTCTCAGAGGAAATTGTCACATTGTCTATTTCAGGATACTTGAGAGAAGATAGTCTGGTTTAATGAGTTTATCCTTAAGTACTGGAGCAAGTAGACGTGGAAGAGGCAGAGCCTAACACTGTTTTTCTAACTCAGTGCTTTCTGTTAAATTTTTATTATGTGTATTTATTTATGTGTATGTATATGGAACATGTATGTACCATAATACATATATAATGGTCAGAGGACATCTTGTGGGGGTCCGTTCTTTTTTTCTACCATGTGTGTCCTTGGCATTGAACTCAAGTTGGCAGGCTTTGTAGCAAGCGCCTTTACCTACTAAGCCTTCTTGCTGTACATCAATGTTTTTTTAAGTTGTAGTCAGAATCAATTTAATCAGAATTGATTCTGATTCATTTACTTATAGACTATGATGTAAAGTATATATATATAGCACAGTATCACACTATGTAAATGTAGTTTTGTTTAATTTTTATTTCCGTTTTTAAGGGTTTATGTATACTGGCATTTTGTATTAAAATACATTTCTTGTCATGGGCTAAATTAAAAACAACTATCTGGAAATACACATTAATGTTACCTTACCTTTGAAATGTCTTTAAGGTACTTCGTGTTTACGCTTTAATTATAATGTGCATCTGCCTTATACAAGACCTTATACAAATGCATCTGTGTATATTCCTGAACTAGAATTGGTAGGGGTGGAGTTACCATGAGTAGAAGTTGGTGATGAGGTAAATGATGCAAAAGACTTAAGTGACTGACAATATAGGGCAAATTAGGGCCGCTTCAGGTCCAGCAGAAAATAGTGGCTCCACCCCTAGCAGGAGCATCCTGTTCTCTTCACTGACGAGTTCTTCCATCACTTTCACCGCAATTCTCTTAGTTCCTCTTTTCTAAAAAAAAAAAAAAAAAAAAAAAAAAAAGAATAGCCTTTCACCCTCCCACCTTGACTATTTACTTGTTTGTGGTTTGCAGGAGTCATCAGGGCTCTAGGAAATGCAAGCTAGAATTAGCAGCTCTAAGTATCCACTCAGCACTAGCTTATTGGCACTCATTTCTAATTTGTAGATTTTTGGACTTTGCATCTGCTTTATCCCAACACACAATTCTTTTCTCCTCCTTCATTTTGTAACCCTTGGGCTGATGGTTGGAAGAAGAGCTGGTGGTCACCTGAAAGCCATGAGATATTACCATCAGAGTAAAAAGGAAATAGTGATAAGTCAGAACATAGGATTGCCCTCTGCACTTTTACAATTTTGGAGAAAGAAGTTTTCTGGAAGGAACTTGGGTGTTTTTACTGTACATAAATTATATATCTTATCCTGTGAGTGAGATTTTATTATCAAACCAGCCTGGTTTCTCTGAGGCCTCTTGTGGACTAGGCCTCAACCTTCATCTGTGAAGACTTAAAGCAACCTTAATATAATGTCTTAAAGGTCTAGGATGTATCTTCTGGGTATGACCATAGCACCATTAAAATGCCCATCAGAGCAAACTGGAAGGAGACAGTAGCACTGATCTGTGGGAATAAGCATGGTTATCAGCAACTAGAGAAACTTCCTGGGCCATAAAAAGAGAATGTAGAAGGGGGCTAGGTTGGAGGAAGACAGGCAGGAGTGGGAGGGTGAATATACTCTAAATACATATAGACATGTATGGAAATGAAATCCACTGTATATAATTAATATATATTAAACTATCTTTTTCTTAATTTGCTTCTGTTAGGTATTTTGTCATACCAACCAAAATAACTAACCTAGTCTGGGCACATAAAATATAAATGTTATTTTTTTTCTGCATTCCTATTTACCTGTTCGTTACTTTTTTCAGCTACTCTGAATGTTATTTTAACATTTGTAATTTTATTTTGGTTTTTATGTTCCTATTGTAAGAATTCTAGATCAGTTAGGTTTAAATAAAACCTTGGCTTTAATATTTATGGATGATTGATAAAATGTCATAGAAGAGGAAAAGACATTCCTGGTCTCATGGAATATTTGAGGGTTTTATGAAAAACTCAGTTATACTTAGTATATTTTAAATGATCAGAAAGGATAGTTTCTGTACTGCTATTACAATAAAATGCAAATACCTTAAAACTTTCAAATTCATTAACGAATTCTCCCAGTATCTACCATATTGCTCTTAAGTATTATTTTGGAGGAGTACTGTAACATTGGTATTATTGGTGAGCTTGCCTCATTGTCAGAAATCTACTCACCAGTTTTGAACTACTGGTTTAGAATATCCGATTTTAGGGTTGGGATGTTGTAGGCTTAGTTTTTCACTAAACCTACTTTATTTAGGGTTCTTAAATGCTATACTTCCCTACCACTCACTGAGCAGTGGTAGGGGAGAAAGAAAGTTATTAGGTAAAGAGTGTTGTAGACCTTTTTAGAAGTAGTTCCTTGGGATGAGTCCTCTCTTCGTTGTCCAGATACCAGCAGTCCATTCCAAAGGCCAACACCAAGCAGCAACATGAATCAGCACAATTCAGAAGATCGGGACAAGTCAGAGAAAGCCTCAAGACTCAGTTGGATTGCCCTGAGAAGTTCTCTGGAACATTTCTCTCTGTGAAGTCAAGTGTCTCAGCACAGTGATCCAAAAAGCGATGTCTCACTATCTGTAGGCTTCTATATATCTTCTCTTCTCAGAGAGTTCACTCATGGATATTCTCAGCTGACCAGAGTCACACCCCTCACACGAGACAGCTCACAGCAAAACATCACGTGCCCTCTTCACAAGGCAGCTTGTAGCAAAACAGCACATGACTCAACTGAGTCTGCCAAGAAACCAGAAACTTTGCTTCATTCAGGATGTAACTTAGTAATGGATCACTTTCCTAGCTGGTATAAAGCCCCAGGCTGAGCCCCACCCACCCCCCAAATCAGGTTGCATCGATGTTTTAAAAAGTTATAATAGTATAATTCTAATCAGACATCATATATTCATACTTCCCATTTATGGTTATACATGGTTTGAAAAGTACCTTTCTCCATATGTCCTTTTCACCTGAAAAATAGATATACATTATCTTTCATTAATATAGAACTAAAAAATGTAAATACTTATGTTTATGCCTTAACATTATTTTTTCATAAAAGTACCCTACTTCTGTGGCTATTTTGTCATCTTTATTCAAGAATTAGGTAATACATTAGATAATACCACTATGTTAAAATGTTTTAGTGCGTACTTAAGATCACTCACTGTATAAAAAATGGTTCTTCCTAACTCATTTCATCTTGGGACAAGTTAAGAACTGAGTCAATGACCACATGATCATTGTGCTACGTTTATTTCAGGAACCATTGACCTTCAAGGATGTGGCCATTGACTTTTCAGGAGAGGAATGGGAATGTCTGAACTGTGAGCAGCAGAATCTGTATAAGGATGTGATGTTAGAAAACTATAGGAACCTGGTCTTCTTGGGTAAGGATAACCTCTCTACAGAATTCCTAATTTGGTTTTAAAATTCATTTCTTTGAATTGCTGAATATTAAAATTCTTTTTTTTTCTTTTGCATTGCTGTATATGTCTTAGGAGCCTCTGTTTTCAGGGGAGAAATAAGGGGAGGTAGTATTTGAAATAGATAATAAATATTCCTGTTTTTAATCTTTATCCTTGACCTAGCTCTTGAGGTAACATATATATCCCAAATTAAAATTATTGGTAATTATAGCAGCCAAGAGGCATAAAATATTAGAATTTACATCTTCAAGTCCAGTTATTCCTCATTTAGCTGTGATTTGGCAATAGGCAGAAGTGAAGCTCAGACTCTATAAATTGAGTATATATTACTGTAGGAATATATAGTGGAAAAGTACTGTTCTAGAATATTGTTCTATATCTCTTATGTGTCTTCTTTCATACTGGACATTACTCTACGTCAGATATCTTAGTCCTTGTGAGGAAAATCACATAAGTATCATGTTGTGTTCTCTAATAACCAGGTCTCGTTGTATCTAAGCCATACCTGGTTACCTGTCTGGAGCAAAGGAAAGAACCCTGGAATATAAAAAGGCAAAAGACAATGGTCTTGTTCCCAGGTGAGTAGTAGTCCACGAAGCAGAGCACACAGGTGAGAGATCCAGAATTCTAGGAAGCCAGGCCAGGTGTACTGTGAAGCCCGGTTCCAGTGGCATTTGGTCCACAAATGCAGTTCTGTCTGTTCTTTCATTGTCAGTCAGGGGTAGTTTCTCCCTGTGTCTGCCATCTTTCAGTCCCCTAAGCCGTCTTGCAGTGATCTCCTTATACATTCACAGTGGTAGCTGAAGCCTTCCCCTTCACTTGTGGGGTGCTGTATAGTACTCATAACGTTTGGGGGCTTCAGAAAAATCTGTGGATATTTCTCATGACCTTATTGACAATATATACAAATATGTTAATATAATGAAAGTTTTCTCTTAACATGATTGATATGTTTGTTTGTTTGCTAATTGTCTCAGAGTTTTTTATAAATATTATAATGGGTTTTCTGTTTTTTTTTTTGTTTTTTTTTTTCTACCATGCAGTGACTGCTAATGATTGACAGGTATATAAAGACAAAACTGAGAATTAGTTTTATGTAAAGACATTTTTTATGTTGCATTTTTCATTTATTTATTTGTTTATTTATTTATTATGAATTACAGTTTATTCACTTTGTATCCCCCCTGTACCTCCCTCCTTCTTCCCCTTCCAATCCCACCCTCCTTCCCCCTTCTCCACCCATGTCCCTCCCCAAGTCCACTGATAGGGGAGGTCCTCCTCTCCTTCCTTCTGATCCTAGTCTATCAGCTCTCATCAGGAGTGGCTGCATTGTCTTCCTCTGTGGCCTGGTAACACTGCTCCCCCCCTCAGGGGGAGGTGATCAAAGAGCAGGCCAATCAGTTCATGTCAGAGACAGTCCCTGTTCCCATTACTATGGAACCCACTTGGATACTGAACTGCCATGGGCTACATCTGTGCAGGGGTTCTAGGTTATCTCTATGAATGGTCCTTGGTTGGAGTATCAGTCTCAGAAAAGATCCCTGTGCCCAGAATTTTTGGTTCTGTTGCTCTCCTTGTGGAGCTCCTGTCCTCTCCAGATCTTACTATTTCCCACTTCTTTCATAAGATTCCCTACACTCTGCCCAAAGTTTGGCTATAAGTCTCATCATCTGCTCTGATACCCTGCAGGGTAGAGCCTTTCAGAGGCCCCCTGTGTCAGGCTCCTGTCCTCTTCCTTGTTTTCTCCCTCTTCTGATGTCCACCCTCTTTGCCTTTCTGAATGGGGATTGACCATCTTAGCCAGAGTCCTCCTTGATTAGTTTCTTTAGGTGTACAGATTTTAGTATGTTTATCCTATTTAATATATCTAATAACCACTTATGAGTGAGTATATATCCTGTGTGTCCTGTGTGTCTTTCTGCTTCTGGGATATAGCTCACTCAGGATGATCTTTTCCAGTTCCCACCATTTGCCTGCATATTTCATGATTTCCTTGTTTTTTTATTGCTGAGTAATATTCCATTGTGTAGATGTACCACAATTTCTGTATCCATTCCTCAACTGAGGGGCATCTGGGTTGTTTCCAGCTTCTGGCTATTACAAATAAAGCTGTTACAAACATGGTTGAGCGAATGTCCTTGATGTATACTTGAGCATGTTTTGGATATATGCCTAGGAGTGGTATAACTGGGTCTTGAGGAAGCACTATTCCTAATTGTCTGAGAAAGCGCCAGCCAGATTGATTTCCAAAGTGGTTGTATAAGTTTACATACCCACCAGCAGTGGAGAAGGGTTCTCCTTTCTCCACATCCTCTCCAACATGTGTTGTCACTTGAGTTATTCATCTTAGCCATTCTGATAGTGTAAGGTGAAATCTCAGGGTCGTTTTGATTTGCATTTCCCTTATGACTAAGGACATTGAGCATTTCTTTAAGTGTTTCTCTGCCATTCGATATTCCTCTATTGAGAATTCTCTGTTTAGCTCTGTACCCCATTTTTTAATTGGATTAATTGATTTGTAAAGACATTTTTAATCATCACCTGTATTTGTTTTGGATTTTATGGGACAGTGGTTCTTTTTTTTTTTTTTAATATTTTTTCTGTGTTTTCAGTTTTTAGAGTAGGTTCCTTATGTCCATTAATATTACTAGTTTTAATCTGCATTTTAGTATAGAATGTAAATTATAAATATTGTATATTGCAGGACAGTGTAAAGTGAAATAAGAGCAAGTTATACACATGCTTATCACCAGGAAAATTGCATGTGCTTTTATTTGCCTGGATAAATAGTAGGCATGCTATCATTATTATTATGACTGAGATGTCTTCTGACTGTAATGTGCTCATTGGTAATTTCATTCTATCTCTGTAAGTATTCTTGTAAGTTTAATTTTGTCATCTGTTTCTTGATGAATCTGTTTCTGTGTCTCAGAGAAACAATTTGACTTCAAGGTAGCTTTTGAGAAATTTCAGTTTCATTTCTTTTCTTGCTTAGCCTTTAATCATGATCAAACCCACACAACTTGAAATTTATTGTCTGAAAGATTTTATTACTGTTTTATAGTGTCAAGTGTATCCAAATTGTTGTATAACACATCTCTGTAAACTTTTCATCTTACAAAAGCAAATTTCAGTATTTATAAACAAAAAGGAGTATCTATTTCTTCCAGAGTCACTATGGTCAGTGTTAGTAGAGCAATGAACAGCATAGATTTTTTATTCTGCAGTTTGCTGACATGCTAAACTAAGCACAATTTCAGATATTAGATTTATAACATCAGTCTAGTGAATGAAATAATTTTTTGTCTTGATTTCTTTCAGCTGTGTTTCCTCACCATAGCCAAGACTTTTCACCAGAGCAGAGCATAAAATATTCATTCCAGGATCTGATCAGTGGAAGTCGTGGAAATTGTGGTTTTGACAGTTTGTACTTCAGAGAAGAAAGGGAAATTGTAGGGGAGAGTGAAGTTCAGAAAACCTATTATAATGGACATAACCACTTTGTGACAGCTGGTAATAGCAAAAGCTTTCCTCCCAGTAGAGGTCAAGACCATGAAATGGCTCAAGAAAACCCTCAGGTTATGCCAATCAGTTGTGAGGAGCCGTGCACTTCTGTCAGTAAACATCAGAGTCAGTTTTTGAAACTTGCCTCTTCTTTCAAAGATAATTTGATAAATACACAAAGGGGTCTAGTCCATTCTTCAGTTAATGACTTCAACAATTTAAAATGTAGCTTTGGTTTAAGCTTTCATTCAAACATTTTTGTAGATGGGGAACTTAAAAATGAAGAAAAAGTTTCCAAATATAATCAATTTGAAAGCTCCTTTATGAAAAATTCATTAGTATATAATCAACAAATTCCATGTGCCAAACCACAAAACTTACATAAATATGGCAGGTTCTTTACACATCCAGTATCACCTAACCAAAATTCAAACACAGATATTTTGGAAATTCAGTATATATGTAAAGAAAACAGGAAAGCCTTTGCTGAGGAATCTACCATAAATACTCACCAAGGCACGTGTATTGGAGAGAGAGTGTATCAGTGTAATGAAAATAACAGTGACTTAAGGCATGAGTCAGATCCTGCTAATCATCAGTCTGCTCACTTTCCAAAGAACCTGTACAAATGTTACAAATGTGACACAGTCTTTAATCAATACTCAGAACTTATTATCCACCAGTATATCCATATTCAAGATCAAATTTCCAAGAATATGGATTGCAACACAGCTTTCAATCAGACTTCAAGCCGTACTAGAAATCATGCTGGAGAAAAACCCTACAAGTGTAAGGAATGTGGCAAAGCCTTTACCTATTGTTCAAGTCTTAGGCAACATCATAGGATTCATTCTGGGGTCAAGCACCACAAATGTAAAGACTGTGGCAAAGCCTTCTACCATAAATCCCTCCTTACTCAGCACCAGAGCATTCATGCTGGGAAGAAGCCCTACTGCTGTAAATTTTGCGGCAAAGCTTTTAATCAAAGATCAACTGTTACTCAGCACCAGAGAATTCATACGGGAGAGAGGCCCTACCATTGTAAAGACTGTGGCAAATCTTTTCATCAAAGATCAAGCCTTAGCCTACACCAGAGAGTTCATACTGGTGAAAAGCCCTACAAATGCAAAGAATGTGGCAAAGCCTTTAACCGTAACTCACTCCTTACTCAACACCAGAGAATTCATACTGGAGAGAGACCCTACCATTGTAAAGACTGTGGTAAAGCTTTTAATAAAAAATCAAGCCTTACTCAGCACCAGAGAATTCATACTGGAGAGAAGCCATATTCTTGTAAAGATTGTGGCAAAGCTTTTAATCAAAGGTCAAGCCTCAGTTTACACCAGAGGGGTCACACTGGAGAAAAACCCAATAAATGTAATGAATGTGGCAAAGCCTTCAATCGTGTTTTTTTCCTTACTCAACACCAGAAAATTCATACTGGAGAGAAGGCTTACCACTGTAAAGACTGTGGCAAAGCTTTTAAGCAGAGGTCAAGCCTTACTCAACACCAGAGAGTTCATACTGGAGATAAACCTTATCATTGTAAGCATTGTAGCAAGGCTTTTACTCAGAGATCAAGCTTTACTCGACACCAGAGAATTCATACTGGAGAGAAGCCCTACAAGTGTCAAGATTGTGACAAAGCTTTCAGCCGTAATTTGCTTCTCATTCAACACCAGAGAATTCATACAGGAGAGAAGCCTTACCACTGTGAAGACTGTGGTAGAGCATTTAATCAACGATCAAGCCTCACTCAGCATCAGAGAGTTCATACTGGGGACAAGCCCTTTTGTTGTAAAGACTGTGGCAAGGCTTTTACTCAGAGATCAAGCTTTAACCGACACCAGAGAATTCATACAGGAGAGAAGTTGTACAAATGTAAGGAATGTGATGGCACCTTTAAAAGCAGTTCGCACCTTGCTGAACACCAGTGCACCTCATTAGGTAGCTGCTTCCAAGGCACAAAATTCCTCCAGTATATGTGAGTTTATTCTGTTCAAGCCAGCTGGCAAACACAGATGGATTGATTTTAGAAAACATGGAATATGTTTGATTATATAAGAGATAATTATTTCTGTTGCAATACCTTCCTGGATTTCAGAATCACATTCTGGTTTAATTGAGTAATATTTTTCTTTCTTGTCATTTTGTCAGTTGGTTCTTTGTTAATAGTTGCATTCTCAAATGTATTCCCCAAACATTGTCCAGAATGTATACATAAAGAAAACATACACCTTGTACAGTGTATAAATAAAAGTGCACCCCAGGCTTCACACTAGAGTAGTCTATGGCAGGTATTATTCAGAGCCCTGCTATGACTTAGAGTCCCACTACTAAATTGTATAGGATAGAGCTTGGTTGTCCCCTCCAAAAACATGTAGAATTGTATTTACTGTCTCTTCTTAAGCACAGATGAGATTTTTATGACAATAACTTCAATAAGCAGCTTTAACCCCACATTTTTTTTTTCCTTCGGTCATGAAACATAGAGCCCAGATAGCAAAAAGGAAATAAAAACTTCAAGTGTACGTTGAATTGGTCTGAGGATCTTGACTTCTGAGTTTACTGCTAGAAAGACTGCAAATATATAGCGGGTGCATGCAGAGTCCATCCTTTGTTCAATTAAGTTACATTGTGGGGGTTGTGGTGTGCCATAGCATTCATGTGAGAGTCAGGATAACTTACAGTCAGTTTTTTCCATTATTTTGTTGGAAATTGAAATCAGCTCATCTGGCTTAGCTGTGAGTGCCTTTACCTGTTGAGTTATCTTTTAGGTTTTTGGATTTTAGGGTCTAAGAATTTTTTTGGCTTGATCAGAACAGTCTCTATGGCATAGAACCATGCTGTTTTCTGTCCTTATGTAATTAGAAAGTTAGGCAGACCACCTACAGTTTCATCAAAGTGCATATATAATCTCAGTGATTTGAGGACATGACCATATTTAAAAATGAGAATGTACAGAAAATGTAGGGAGACATTTTTATATTTAGAGTTCAACAAAACACTCCATAAAACTAAAGGCTTTTGGGGTTAGTTCTCCAGTGACTCTTGGTGCCATGTTGCCACTGATAGAGGGCTGTATCTGGTGATGAGTGTAGAGTCTATAAGGTCAAAGAAGCATTGTCATACTTGGATGTGATGCATTATCAGAAAGGAGAAGAGCTGGTAATAGTGAAGATAAATCGGCACCAAATCCAGAGCTGTAACACCACTCAGGGGTGTTGTTTTTCCTCAGCTGGTGGAAGACCATTTCTGTCACACTGTCAAGGGTTTGTACTGGGGCTCTTTCATGCTCTGTGTTGGCCTAGAGTCAACCTGGGCCTCACCTTCCTGGATCATTCTTTGGGCATTAAGTCCGGGATCACTGGGAACTGTCTCGCTGCACCTAGGACCTGCCAAATATTTAGGTGTGCAGAATGCACATTTGGGTCAGGCTAGCAACATGCCCCCTTATTCTATTTCATGGGAAGAATGAATGATTCAGAATTCCTTCACAGAAGCATTTTTGGTCCTATAGAGGATTTATTCCCATTTTCTGGTACTGAAATGAGGAAACCTGTGGTAATCTCAAGACAAAATATACTCAATAATTTCTTCACATAGCCCCTGTCTCCAAGACAACAAGAAAAACAAACACAAAGCAGTCATGGATGGAAACTTCTAGAAAACTTCAGTGTAAAACAAGTGGATAAATAATTGAACTTCATATGATAATGATTAGTACAAAGAAGGGAAAGAGTGATTGACAAATTGCAATTTGTTTGGGAAGGTTTTCTTTATTATATGTTCTGATGCACTTCTATAAGGACATTTTCTAGAAGAGTTATTTCTATTTGTGTTGGTTTTACCTTGTTGAAAAATTTGGACTCTTACTAGGATTATTTTAGAGAAAGTTTTGTTAACTTGGTTGTTCTTTGATGTTATTAAGTGGGGGAATCATTGTAGTTTGCTTTTTTTATGCTGTGATAAATACAATAATCAGAAGCAGGTTGGGGAGGAAAGGTTTGTTCAGGATAGGAAGGAAAGCAGGAGCAGGGGATGGAACCATGTAAGAAGAGGATGCTCACTGGTTTACTCCTCTCAGCTCATGCTCAGCCAGCTTCCCTAAACCTCCCAGGACCACCTGCCTGTGGGTGGCGCTGTCCACAGTAAACTGGATCTTCACATCAGCCAACAATCAGAACCCTTGTAGACGTGGACATAGGCCATTCTGATCTGGGCAATTTCTCAATACCTTAATTGAGACACTCACTTTTCACATGATGATTGGTTGGGTTAAATTGACAGTGAAAACAAACCAGGATAGTAATGTGTAAGATAGTGTTATGGAGGACAGAAGTGTAACTGCTATAGCAATACAGCAATCAGAAGCCTACATCCTATTTTGGATTCTGCCCAGATGCTCAGAAATATTCAGAATGCCCTGCTCAAGGTGCGGTCAACCAGCAGTCTCTCTTCAAAAGAAGAAACAATATGTCAGCATTGGTGGATACTCTGGCCTCGAATTTTTCCCGGGCCCCAAAGAAGATAAGTCTATCTGATAGGTTGATACCTTATTTCTCATTAAGGCTGTGTCCGGAAGTATTCTCTCAGATACTGTGCTTTTTGATTCCTGCAGGTCTAGTGGCTGCTCCTCATACAAACAAGTACAAACTTAGTAAGATTTCCTCCGAACTACTTTGGGGATTTTTCTTTATCCCCCTCAATCACCGTCTTTAGTTCTTAGTTCTCTGCATTAAAAATAAACACGTGATACTGAAGAAGAAACCGAGTTGTTTCTGATCATTTAGGTGATGAAGCAGTGCTCTACTTCTAGGTCTTACGTCAATTAATGCAAATAATATGAAGTCTGCTCATGCTTTCACAATCTTCTGTAAGTACATAACATGTACTTAAGTGGACATTTTTAAAGTAACTGTACGACTTGTGTCCCAGATGGTAACTTATGAACAATTGCCTACAGCAAATTTTAAAGAAGCGTAAATGACTTAAGATTTGTACTGTTCATTTAGAACTAAGAACATCTGTTTTGAGAACACACAGTTTACACGAGCCTTGTGCTGCACTTTCTTCTAGTTTAGCACTTTCTTCCAAATGGGTGGAAAACTCCAAAAGGAATGTGCTGAAGATGCCAGTTCATGAGTGCCCCTTCTAGGTTCCCCAAATTCACAGAATCACAATTCCTTAAATTGGGGTCCTATGATGGCATATGATTTGCTTTCCTTCAAATGCAAGGTGACTAGCATGAGGCCACAAGGTAGTCTACAATGTTTGGTTTTGTGCCAATGTCATGCTTTTGTTTTGTCTATGTATTTATTTATTTATTTAGGTTTATAAGGCTTTATTCCTGGATGTGTGTATTTTTCTTTTTAAGAAACATTTTATTGATACTTTGTGAATGTCACATCATGCACCCTATCCCCATTCATCTCCCCATCCCTCCATATCTGCCCTTACAACCTCTCTCCAAAAGGAAAAAGAAAAGAACATTAAAAAAATAAACCATCTCCCTGTGGAAGCTGTGGAGTGTCGTGGTGTATCACACAGTATAACCTTTTGCCCAAACAGCTTTACTTGCAAATGTTCATTGCAATGATTCATTGATGTGGCTCAAGGCTTCTGGCTTCTGCTACACTATCAACTTTGGATTCTTACCAGGGCTCTTCTCGGATTTCCTGTTGTTGCCCTGTGTCATGGAGATCCTACAGCTTTGGTTCGGCGCAGGACTGGCCTCTTCATGAGCTTCAGCAGTTCACAGATGGGGTAGATGTTGGGGTGGGCCAACTCAGAGCCCTGGGTCTGGGCCTGGGTGGTGACTGTTCAGCCCACCAGCTCTCCCGTGCTTGTACCACCAGGGAGGGACAGCTCTCCCGCTTAGCCCACACAAGGGGCAGGGTCAGCCCTCCTGCTTGTGGCAATGGGCAAGAGGCCAGACTGGCTCTCGCTGGCTTGCACCATTGGGGTCAGCTAACTCGTACTTCCATTTAGGTTTGGTATTGAGAGATACATACTAAAGTATTCTTTCCTGGTAATAATACTCTTATTTTCTTCCAAACTAATTATAGAGTATTGTTTTATTGTGATGATACTGTTTCTATCCTAATTACCAATTGATTATTTGTTTAGTGAGATTTATTGCTTCTTAAGCTCTTAGTATTGCGTGGGATTCTTTTGTATATCATTTGCAATAGCGTGTAGTGCTTTTAAAACTTTTTAAACTCTGCTTTTTAAATTTTAAAACTCTGCTTTATTTGGGGTGTTTATGTCTCAACATCCCTTCCAACCTCCCAACCCTATCTAGGAGAGAGAGCAGGTTAGTGGGGAGAGAGGGCCGCTTTGCTTCTCCTGGCTGTTTAGGGTCAGTGGGTTCTTTTCGGACTCTATGCCAAGCTCCATCAATGGCAGATGCAGCCAACAGTCTCCTTCAATCTGTGTGCCCAAAGTGTTCCTCTCATCTGTCTGCTCCAAACCACCACACCGTCCATCTCTCTGGTCTCTCTAAACTGTTACACGACAAACACCGACAACCACAGGACATGCCATGCCACTTCTCTTTCTGAGCTCTCAGTTTATATCCTCAGAGCCCTTGACAACGCCCATCTTCGTGCTGCCCAAGGAAGGCCAGCTGGCAAAGGCCACACCCTGCACGAGACAATTAACAGCTGTGGACAAACTGTAGCCCAACTAAAACCCCACACGTGGGATTAAAACAAAAACGTTTACATACAATAACAGAGTTTACAAAAAAACCAAAGCTTCCATTACATTACTGGCCTAATGGTCCTGAATTATTTTGGTTTACAGTTATCTTGGAAGGTTTTATTTCTCCACTGATTTTAAAGTGTAGTTTTAGTGTAAGCATTACTGTTGGTTGGTAACTACTTTCTTTTAGGGTTTGAAATACATCATTCTATGTTGTCTTGGCCTTAAGAATTTTTGCTGAGAGTTCTACTTGTTCTAATGAATTTTCACATGTTTATAACTAGAATTTATTTCTTGGAACTTTCAGTATTCCATTTGGTACTCCTGGAATTTCACTAGAACATTGCTTAGAGAAGTGGATGTCCATATATTTCCGTAGATTTGAGGTATTTTCAGCTATTTCATGAAATAGGTTTTCTGTGCCGTTAGGCTGTATTTCAGCTCCATCTTCTATACAAAAGATTTAGAAATTTCTATTGTGTCCTAGACATCTAGGATATTATAGCCATGATCTCTCATCTTTATTACTCTCTGAATGTAAACATCCATCAGCCTTGTTCGAAGTCCTTCACCGTCTCTCTTTACCTTGCTCTAGTCTATTGGTGATGCTTTCTGTGGAGTTCTTTTTATTAAGTTTTACAGAGTCTATTCTCCGGAACATTTATATTTTCTCCTCTCTGCTTAATTTCTCATTTAAGTCCTGACTACTTTTAAAATTTGTTTGCTTTTTTATTTGTTTTAAAATTATTGATCATTCTTACAATAGGCTTTACAAATGTTTTTGTGTAAGCATTTCATCTGTGTCATTATCTTTGCATTTGAATATTTAAAATTATTGGCTTTGGTGGAGTTACGTTTTCTTATTTTTCATATTACGTTTTTGTGTTCATCTTCTGGGACAGATACCTCTCCACTGTTCTATGAGAGTCTTAGCGATCAGCCTTCTCTTACAGGCTCAATCCCTGGTAGGACTTCTTGGGACCAAAACAACCTGAGATAATTCTCCCACAAAACAAACCAGACATATAAATATATATGAAATAAAACACACTACACTCCCAATAACAACAAAGGGCCCTCAAAAATAAGAAAGGTTAAAGAAATGAAGTAATAGTTTGAAATTGAATGGTGAAAAGGAAAAAACAAACAGAAGACTACTAAGATTTGAGGAAAAGGGGGAGAAAGCAACATAAAATCAAAGAGAAAAGTAAACTCTTCCTTGTGGAAGACATACATCCTGCTCTCTCCCTGGCCCGTGTTTCACAAGCTATCCACACGGGGGAAGTGGGAGCATTGTGTCGTATGCCTTACACTCTAAACAGGTAAAATCGGATTGCCAGTTTAGAGGCTGACTCTTGTCTTGCCGAACAGAATGAGGTAAGAGAAAGTGTCTGCTGTAGGGTTCTAAGCGCACTAGTGTGTGCTGATACGGAGTATTACAACACTAGCAGATTTATGCAAATGCCTGTATCCTGATCCTGTGGGTGGGTGTCAAGGGGCACCAAAGTCACTGTCGGTGTGGCTTTGAGCTTGTTGGAGCATGTCCTCTCAATGTCTCTGAGCATGGAAAAAATGGCCAAGACAAATTATCTTGCTAGAGGCAGGAAGTCTCAGACACCAAGCGATCAGTAGCCCCGACCACGCTTCTCCATTTCAGACCCCACAGAGATATGCACACAGTTTCAGTTCCCTTGGACATTGGAGCACCGCTTTCAATAGGAAGGATTTACCATTCTGCCTTGTAGAATTATGCTAAAAATTTTAAATGACAACCAGTTTTTGGGGTGGCTGCATAGCTCCCTATTTACCACTAGTGACCAAGCTAGCATGGGCAGGAGATAACTCTCCAGCGCCAGCATACAGGGAACACAGATCTGTTTTGGACCCTGTAAGACGCCCAGTTTTACGCTTTCAAAACGGCTAGACTTACCTCTTGGTGTAGCCCTGCTGAGTGGCAGCCTCCCCAACACTCACCATCTTCCGGGGTACACGCTGTTAATACTGTGTTTTCATTACAATTGCAAGGGTTGATATTTCTAGATTTACTCCGATTGCTGTTCACTCCAAGCTGGATGGTGGTAGGTAGGATTGAGGGCCTTCCAAGTTGCACCTGACCTCTTGAACCTGGAGATTTCCTGACCCTCAGACCATCTTGCACATGAAAGGACAGGTTGGGGCCCTAGAAACACCACTGCTTTTGGTGGATTGATGCATTAAGTCTCCAGAGAAGTCTTGAACTGGTTGGTTTCTGACCTAGGCAAGTCAGATTCTAAGGCAAGATGACATCACAGAAAACACTAAGCCTGTATGCTAAATATGGTGTCAGGAGTAGCAAGAGACCTCTGCCAGATGAGAGAGAGCCATCCTGAAGCTTCTCCATGTAGATTGTCCCCTTGTTATCCCTGCATTTCTTGTAGACAGGGTAATTTTTGTATCATAGGTTTTGTCAGGGAGTTGTTCCCTTCCTTCCACTAGTCCTGCCTGGCTAGGAGGTGGTCACTTCAGTCTTCATGTCCTGCCCTGTTAGGAGTCTCAGCTAGAGTCACACCCATATTCTCCCAGGAGCCTATCCTGTGGAGCCTATCCTCAGCTTGACAAAGAAATGGCCCCGTCAATTTTACCTTCTTGTTCCCAGCCCTCTCACCTCCCACCCCCATTCTTCCCACATCTGATCCCCACCCTTGTTTCCTTCCCCATTCCATCTCCTGCCCAGTTCCCTCTCTCCATCCACTTCTGCTGTCTATTCTAGTTCCCCTTCTGAGTGATGTTCTGGCAGCCTCCCTTGGACCCTTCTTGACTTTACAGGAACTGACAGTTATGAGCATTGAGTATTTTATAGAAACTTTGGAAATTTAGAGAAACTTTGATATTTTAGAGAGACTTCAGAATTTTAGAGAGAGGCTTGGAACGTTGAAAGGCAGTGGGTAATTTAAAGTGAAGTGTTTTTAAAGACAGACTTACAAATTGGATATTAATTAATATGAGGTCTTGTGGATAAGCAATAAAGTAAAGGTTATGATAAACAGTAATATGTCTGTGTCAAGTTGACCAGGGGTCAATTGCTGTGTGTGTGTGTGTGTGTGTGTGTGTGTGTGTGTGTGTATGTGTGTGTGTGTCAATTTGACATAGTTGAGAAAAGGGAACCTTAATTGACAAAGTACCCCCAGAGAGTGGCCTGTGGGCAAGCCTATAGGACGTTTTCTTGATTAATTATTAATATGGGCTTACTTCACCACAGGGTGGTGCCATCCCTGGAAGGTGGTCCTGTGTGGTATGAGAAAGTAGCCTGAGCAAGCCTTGGGGTCAAGCCAGGCAGTAGTACTCTTCCATTGTCTTTGCATCAGCACCTGCCTTCAGGCTCCTGCCTTGAGTTGTTGCCATGTGAGTTATTCCAGAAGTCAGAAAAGATGCTGAAAATTTTCTCTACACATTCAAAAGCTACAAACACAATGTACCAAAATCTGTGGTATACAGCAAAAGCCGCAATGAAGGAAATTTATAACAATAAATGGCTACATTAAGAAAACAGAAATTTTTTAAATAAATTAACGGTGCACTTCAAGGAGTTTAAAAAGCAAAACAAGACTTTTCAAAAATTTATAAAGGGACATAAATAGAATAATAAAGAAAATGGAGGGGAAAGACGCAAATCAAAAGATCAATGAAAAGATGTTGGTTTTTAAAAAGAAAAGCAAAAGTGATAAATCCTTAGCTAGATTATCCAATAAGAAAGGAGAAGAGGTCCAATACTTATTTATTTTTAAGTGAGACTTTTTTTAAAAAAAAGGCGACATCACAATGGATGCCACAGATTCA